AAACGTCAGCTTGAAACTCGTCTGCAATGCAATCCTTGGCAGAGAAATGGAGTAGTTGAGAGAGAGCGTCCGCCTTCCCTCTCGAAGACTCTTCAAAATCCGGCATGGCATCGCCGGCTGCCGGCGGGCACTGCGCCTGCACGTGCGGCGGCTCGAAGTGGAGCCAGAGCCACGCGAGCTCCTGATGTTGAGAAAGACATGCTCGCCATGAGCAATCTGGCACAGGTATACTGCCCTTGCCAGTGGATGCTAAAGTAGCGATGGCGTCGACCATTTCGTTCCAGGGATCTGAGGGATGCCCTTCTACATGATGCCGGGAAACCTTGTGAGCAAAGTAGCTGGAAACCTTGGCCAGGCTGTCCAGGAGAGACCGTGGCATAGCTAAAGAACGCCCAAGAGCTCCTCCTCTAGCAATACGTAATACTTCAGAACTGTCACAGTAGAGCTCATTAGCAAGTTCCCTGGATAAGCTGGAAAACTGGGACTGCAGGAACCGCGCAAGAGCCCATTGACCGCCCAATATTTCAGAAGCCAGAGAGAGATGGTGGTTGGGGAACTCCTCGAAGTCGAAAAGACCGCCCTCGAAGCCCAAGAAGGCAGTCTGGCCCTGGATGTCCCGAGCCAGGATGGCAAAGGCCCAAGCGGGCCTTCCCTTTTTGCTGCCTCCCGAACCGTCCGTGTACACTTGCAGAGCTTCCAGGGGCCCGAGAGCCCCCCAGGGGCGCAGGTTTGGGAGGGCCTGAGTGGTAGGTGAATGCCAGTACTTGGCCCAATACCAGTAACAACATTTGAGCGGTCTCGGCCATGTAGCAAAGAGCTGCTGCCGAACACTCCCAACATCTGGCATAGGACTATTGGCACAACCTCGAACTGAGGCGGTGGTGTTTTGCCCCGAACTGCGCTGAGGTGGGGGTGATGATTGGATCCCGTCTCCACCTGCGTCCTCGAGAGGACGTAGCGCAGGCGGGGCTAGCGAAAAACTGCTGCAGCTGCTTCGTCTGCTGCTGCCTGCTGGATCGGCATGTCGAACTGCTGCACCAACTGATCGCCCTCCTTGAGCGGCGCGTCCAGCATGATGGAAGCGTCTTCTTCGTCGTGTGGTAAGCAGAGTGCCGTTGCTGGCGGCATCTCTGCACCTGGGTCCGCCGGGGAGATGGACCTCGCATTCGCGTTGATGCACGGCGAAGCTGCAAGTGCTTCTGCAAGTTGTCGTTGACCAGGCTGCCTTGCTGCCATCTCGAGCTGTCGAGTGGCCGTTGGGACCTTGCCGCCTGGACTACCTGCTGGCTTGATCACGCCGCCCTTGCCGATGTGAGTGGTGGGTGCTCTTGCTGCCGCCGGCGTCGCAGGCGTGGGTGATCTGCCCGCAGCCGCAATGGCGTTGACTGGCTGAGTCGCGGCCATTCCCGTCTGGGGGGAGGTCGGGAGAGGCTGCGCTGAGGAAGGAACGCCTGTGTGCACGACAGAGAGCTTGGAGATGGTCTGCTGCATCATCGCCATGTTGTTGGCGAGAGAGCCGATGGATGCCTGGAGCGATGCTTGGTTGGCTTGAAGCTGGGCCAGCACCTGAGGTTGACAACTTTGACTTTGAACCGAGCTCGCGTCTCCGATATCTTCTGGAGTAGTGACGAAAGATACTGACCTCACAGCTTCCATTTGTGCGGCTTCTGTTGCTGCTTGATGCTCGAACGAATCCAAAAGGGCGGTGGCAGAGTTGAGGTCCGAAGAGATTGCCTCCCGCTGACGTTGAGCTGCCAGTAGTCGTACTTCTGCTTCCCGTTCTGCATGTTGTGCTTCCTCGAGACGTCGAGCTGCTCTCGCAATGTAGGCCTTCTGGTTGGCGATGCGATCCTTCGTCTCGTAGGAGTAGATGTGCATGAAACTGAGGACCGCGAGCTCCGCGCACATGTCGTTGAGCTGCTCCTGAGTGACGCCAAGTGCCCGACGGGCCTTTAGTGACTTCTCCACGGCTGCGATGGCGTCCTTTAACTTCTTGCGGTGGGCTTCCCTCGCAACGTGCTCCGTCGGGGGTTCCACCCATAACTTGTGCTGCTTGGCCTCCTCGTAGGTGGCGACACGTGGTGGCTGGTGTTCGTCTTGAGTCGGCTTGGCCTCTGCGGACGACTGAGTGTCGTTGGATGCTGGCGCCTCGGACTCTGATGCTGATGGGCGCGGTCGCGAGGCCGATCGTGTGCGACGCGCGCTCCTCGGCCAGCAAACTGAACACCAGGTCGCAGATGACTTTTGCTTGGAACCACAGCGAGACCAGAACCAAGACTCGTGCCACGGCGCCATGCTGCTGTGGTGTTCGTCGAGAATGCGCCTGGCGCTCTCTATGCGGAGGAGCGTTCGTGCTGCCGAACGCTGCTCTCTGGCCCGTCTATGCCAGGCTGGTTCTGAATGTTGACGGCTCCCCCGAACCGTCTTGTCACTGAATGCGTGCGCGTGCACGGCCAGCCCGCGGGATATGGCGGCGCGGGCCAGCGCGTCTGACTGCCGGTCCCAAGAGGCTCGCTGCTACCTGGTAGCAGCTCCCAAAGCCTCGAACCGGGACGGCAGCTGAGGAGGGGTGGAGGGAGGAGGAAGGAGGAAACGCGGGGCGCTGTCTCTTCAAAACGTGGACCCATCACCACAGGATGGTTGGGGAAACATGGAAAAGGAGGCGAGTGAGCGAGGCCTAGGTGAGTGTGGGTATCACACATCCAAAGATAAGCCTGGGGGGCCGAAGCAAGCAACCCGCCTGAGACATCTCCACAATCTGGGCCCCTTGGTGTGCTGAAACCAGCCCCCCGCTTGAGACATCCTCACAGTCGGTTCTGAACGCAAGCAGGTCTGGCCACCACAACAAGCAAACCGTTCGAGATATCCCCACAATCTGGGTGCTAACGGGCCCGTGATATACCCACTGGCGGCCCCTCCCTGGGGTGCTGGAAGCAGCGCCTCGCACGAGACATCTGTACAACCTGCTCTGATCGCAAACGAATCTGGCCACCAAAGCAAGCAGACCGCCTGAAACATCCCCACAATCTGGGCGCGAACGGACCTGTGATATACTCTCTGGCGGTCTCCCCTTTGGGGTGCCGAGGTTAGCGCCTCGCCTGAGACATCCTCAACATGTGCTATGAACGCAGGCGAGTCTGGCCACGCAAACAGGCAAGCCGCCTGAGACTTCCCCACAAGCTGGGCGCAAACGGGCCTGTGATATACCCCCTGACAGCTCTCCCTTCGGGTGCCGAAACCAGCACCTCGCCTGAGACATCCTCACAATCTGCTCTAAGCGGAGACGAGCCTAGCCACCACAACAAGCAAACCGCCTGAGACATCCTCACAAGCGGGGTGCGACTGGGTCCATGATATGCCCCCTGGCGGCTCCTCCTTGGAATGTTGAAGCCAGCGCCTCGCCTGAGACATCCTCACAGCCTGCCCCAGAGTCAAGACATGTTAGGCACGCGAACAGGCGACCCGCCTGAGACATCCCCACAATCTGGGCGCGACTGGGCCACTGATATGCCCCCTGGCGGCTCCTCCGTGGAATGCTGAAGCCAGCGCCTCGCCCGAGACATCCTCATAGTCTGCCCCGAAAGCAAGACGAGTTGGGCACGCGAGCGGGCGACCCGCCTGAGACATCCCCACAACCTGGGCGCGACCGGGCGGACGCCGTACCCCCTGTCGGGCGCTGGCAGAACTGGGCTTCGTTGGACCTGGTTTAGTGCTGTGTACCTACTGGGGGACGCCCTCGGGTCCCATTCCACTAACCGGAACTGCCGTCACCCGAAAAAACACCAGCTGCGGCAGACCTGGTTTAGTGATCCTGGCCAATTTAGGGGCTCCAGGGCCCTACCACTAACCGGGTCCCCTTACCTGGGGTCCTGGCTATACCCGACCCTGGCGCCCCCCCTGGGGGTGCTGAAGCCAGCCCCTCGCCCGAGACATCCGCACGAACTGCTCCAGACGCAGGAGACGCTGGGCACGCAGACGAGCCAACGGCGTGAGACATCCCCACAACCTGAGTGCGAAAGGGCCCGTGTCACGCCGGCCGACGGCGAGGCCCTCTCCGGAGGCGCCCCCGACCAACGTCGCGCCGGCCACCAAACTCGCGGCGGGGCGCTGGCGGCTGCAGCCGGCGGCTGCAGCGATCGGATCTCGGCGGCGAGCGAGGGGGGAGGTGAGAAGGAGAAGGCCCTCTCGGAAGGCGGCGGGACTTCTCAGAAGCTCGCGCGCCTTCTGAGAAGTGTTCTGTGTCTTCGGGGAGGGCTTAGAAGACTTCTCAGAAGGCCGGGGGGCCGGGGGACTTCCGAGCCTTCTGAGAAGGCCCGCCCCTTCTCTCTTCCCCCCCTCGCTCGCCGCCGAGGATCGGCGTCCCCTCGTGGCTCCTGGGGCTGGTGGTGGATCTTTTGGCCTGGGCTCGGGCAGGGTGCCCGGCCAAGTCCCGAGTGGGCCTCGTAGTCCTAGGCTGTGGCCCGCGCTCCCCAGGCCGCTGCGGCAAGGCCCAGGCGCGCCTGCCGCAGGTGGCATCCGATTGAGGCCGTCCTGGGAGGACTTCTGGGCTCCCAGATCGCCTGACCGCCTGGCCGATGCCAGAACCCCTGAGCCGAAGGAAGCATTTTCTGGGGGAAGGGGGGAGGAGCAGGAGATGGGAGCGGACCGCGATATTATACACAACTCGCCTCGCCAAACGTGGTGGCAATGATCACGTTCGTCGCAAGGCTGTCCTACGAACGACTGTACCACAAGAAACATGGACGTCTCGCTCTTCCTTCCGCCGCCTTCCGCCGACCTTTCGTCCGCGGGCCTACCGCCGTTCTGCTTGCAGTCGGCGAGGACGCGTCGAAGGCGAGGCCCGTTCTGGGACCGCCCCGTCTGTCCCCAAACGGTTTTGGGCACCTGGTCTCGCCACGCCTCGGAGCAGGGGCCACCAGGCCGACTGGGGGACGTCGCCCTCCGCTTTGTGCGGTGCACAAGGAGGCCAACGGGCGATGGCTGGTGGTTGAGCGGCACGCCGCGGGGCATCCGTGATAACCGATGGTGGCAAACATGGACACGCGCCCGTGCTTCAGCTCCACCTGGCGGTGCCCGGAAGAGCCAGCGCACCGGGAGGACACGCAGGAGCGGGTGGAGAGGGGGGGAGGCGCGAGGGGGAAGAGGGACGAGGAGAGGGAGACAGAGGACGACGAACATGAGGAAGAAGAGGCACGTGAAGAGAAGCACGAGAAGGAGTACGATGAAGCTTCAAGTTAGCAAGGTCAAACGAATCAGCTGCCCCGCCCGTCCATCCCACAACATAATCGTATAAAGTGCTGTGCGGCTTGACTTCCCGCCTGGCGAACGTCAGGCGCTCGCGCGCGGCCCTGCTTCCGACGACCCCGGCGGGGGGAAAGCGGCGCGGGCCGCGCAGGGGCGGGACCGGCACAGCTTCCAACGAGCGCGGCAAAGACGAAGCACGCGCCACGGCGAAACGGCACTGCCACTCTCACGCGCACGCGCGCAAACTGCGCGGCGCCTGGGCGAGCGCACAGCATCTCGCCCGCGCCAGCGCGGCCTCGCTGCCGCTGCCGCTGTCGTGCCGACTCGTCGAGCGAGACAACATTCAGGAGGGGGAAAAAACACACAGACACAATGAATCGTCGATCCCAAAGAAAAATATAGGAAAATATGGGAAGTGGGAGAGAAGACAAAAACCCAGAAAATATAGGAAATATAGGGAATCCTGTTATTTGTGTGTATTGATTTGTGTGTCCCAGGGCCCCTTCAAATATGGCCGGCGCCCACGCAGGAGCACTACTGTGGGGGCCCATGCCAAGAGACACCCTGCCTGCCTCCAGGGTGCCCTGGGTTTCTTGGGTTTCGATGGCGTTGCGATGGAAAGCGCGACGTTCCCACCCCGAAAAAATCCATGGACCTGCTGAGGTCTCAGGGTTGGGTTTCTTGTGGAAGGTCTCTTGTGGTCGGGCCCCTACTGTATCATCAGACGAAGTGTGCACGGAGCCTGGGAGAGGGCGACCAGTCGTGAAAAACTGCGCCGCGCCGAAGCGCGGCGGCGAACCCCTGCTGGGCGAAAGCGGAGCGGCGCCGGAGCGAGAACAACATCTTCGTCCAGTCGCGCGTCGACGAAGTGGAGCGAGAAAGCATATGCGCCGCGCCCACGCGGGAGCTCAATTCTCCGGGAGCGTGAGTGCGGCGCCGATGCGCGAAGGACATTTCGCCCTCTCGCGCAGGATGTCCACCCGCCCCCTTCCTACGCATGGTGCGAAACCTAACGTCCACTGCGAAAGCCCAAGCGCAAACTTGGTATTGTTTTTACCAGGTATGATGCCTCCCGCATAGGTCACCTATCGGCCAGCTAGATAGCCAAGTGGGAGTATCTAGTAACAGGTAATGAGGATGAGTAGGATCAAGAAGAGCCTGAGCCCTGCTCACAGTCGACCCCCTGGCCTCTCCAGGGGTTTCTCGGATTAGGATTTCGAGCCAGATCCAGCCGCGGCGGCGAGAAGCCCCCCAGTTTGTAAGGATATTAATCGCGAGCGCAAGCCTCGATCCTCGATCCTCCCTGCTCCCTGGCCTGGCCCACACCCGCTCAAGCGTCGGCCAAGGCCTGGCCCACATCTCGCTCCTGACGGCCCGAGGGGGGCCCGAAGAGAGCCTCCGGAGGCCGTGGAGGGTGGCGGAAAGCATGCTCGAGCATCCTCCCCCCTGTCCTCCTCCTCCTCCTCCTCCTCCTCCTCCTCCTCCTCCTCCTCCTGCCCCACCCCTGGCGGCTCTCGTTGGCCTCGCCCCCCGCGCGTCCCTGGCGCAGAGGCCTGCAGGTCCGGCCTGGGCACCGACGAGCTGCCGCCGCTGCGCACCGCCGCCCGCGGCCTCCCGCGAGGCCGCGGCCTCCCGCGAGGCCGCCCGTGGCCTCGCCCCGCCCGCCCCTAGCGCAGAGGCCTGTCGGTCGGCCAAGGAACCAACGTTCCCCAGCGCTCCCGGGCGCTCACCGCTCCTCCTCCTCCTCCTCCTCCTCCTCCTCCTCCTCCCCTCCTCCTCCATCTCCTCCTCCTCCTCCTCCTCCTTCCTCCTCCTCCTTCCTCTCTCCTCCTCCTCATCTCCTCCCCTCCTCCCTCCTCCTCTCTCCTCCTCCTCCCTCCTCCCCTCCTCCCTCCTCCTCCTCCTCATCCTCCCTCCTCCTCCTCCTCCTCCTCCTCCTCCTCCGCCTCTGGTCGTGCCAGGCCAGGGAGTGGCCCTGGGCACGGTTGGCCCCTGGGTGCGCGTCCTTCAGTGGGCTGCACGCCAGGGCGTGGCCCCAGGCCAGAGTGGCCGTGGCCTTCGGTGCGCGGCTCCACGGGGGAGGCGCGCACCGAAGGCCACGTATGTGTGTGTGTGTGTGAGAGTGTGTGTGTGTAGGTGTGTGTGTGTGTGTGCGTTCATGTGTGTGTGTGTGTGTGTTTGTGTGTGTGTGTTTGTTTGTGTGTGTGTGCGTATGTGTGTGTGTGAGTGAGTGAGTGAGTGAGTGAGTGTGTGTTA